GACACTGTTTGAAAATCCTGCTTTTAGAGGTAGCATTGAGGATTTAGTTCTTTTCATATTTTAGGATAAAATTTCCCTCTAATAGAAAGTAAGCTTAAGGGCAGGGACTATTTGGGTTTTGTCTTTGTATCTCCAACACCGAGCATAGTGCCTGGTATCTAGAAAATGTTTAATAAATATGTAATATTCAATCGAGTTGAAGAAAGACTCGGGCACATCCGGTCCAGGGGAAGGATCTCTGGGCTTTGTTCAAAGTTGTACAACTGAGATCTCCTCACAAGGATAGGCCAAGGGAAGTGGGAAAAAAGAAACAGGCATCTAGTGTTATGCGCTTCTTGATTAATTCAACTTTTTGTCTACCCCAAGAAAATAAAGCACATTTTATTTCATGCAAAAATGCTTCCCAACTAAGCCTGTTCACTTTCTCATTTTATAGATCAGAAAATTGAGGTCCAGAGGGGTTAAATGGGTAGTGAGTGGCTAATGGAGGATCTGAATCCAGTTGCTTTGACTCTGTCCAGGGTGCCACATTGTGACTCTTGAGGCTTGCACAGGGTTACTTAGGTAGCAAGTGGCTAAGTGAGGATTTGAATCCAGTTCCTCTGACTCTAACCAGGGCCTCCAAGACACTCAAAGTTGCTAAGGTGCCTTTGGGGACAGGAAGGGTTAGGATTTTAAAGCCAAAGAAAACAACATAGGAGGGAGTGTTAAAAGCAATTGTTTATCTTTCCATTACACTGTAAGCTCCCTGAGGGCAGGGACTGTCTTTTTCTTTTTAGTACAGTGCCTGGCACATAGCAAGTACTTAATGTTTATTGAACTGAATCTTAATTTTTTTTCTTCCCAAAAAGGTGAGAGAAATAATCTAGGTAATTTTCCTCAGCTGCATCTCAGCTGAAGAAAAGGACATTTTAAGGCAGTGACCCATGCAGTTTGTGCCTCTCAGGATTCTCTCTTGTCCTACAAATCCTACCCAAAGTTACCAAAACTTTAGAAAAAAATATTTTCTCCTCCAAAATATACTGATGGAAAGAAAGTTTAGGGCTACCACTTGTGAGTGGTAGATCTCAGGCAAATCATTGTAGTTCTCTAGTGCCTCAGTTTCCGCATTTGTAACATGCAAAGGTTTGTATAAAATAATATCTAAGGTAATTTCCACCTCTGTGAATTTGTGGCTTTCCAAAAGTTACACATGTACTAGTATTGACAAGGGAATCTGGAACTTCATTGATCGGCATTTACAGCCTTATCTCCTCAGTTAAAGACTGAAGTATCTTTAAAGTGGGACATACTCCTGCTTTGTGAGAATCCAGAAGATTCTGCTTACAGAATTTCCATATAGTGTCTAAACAAACACTCTTCATTTGTCAGGAATGCCTGCAGATGGGGGAGGCCAAGCCTAGCCAAGGTCTTGGGAGGTTGGCTTTAGCTTAGCTTGTGATGGATGCCTTTTGAAAAGCAGAGGCTCAGATGACAAGCTTACGCTCTCTGGCAGACAAGGATGCTCTACCACTGCTGCCTGACTCTTACTCATACAGCTGTTTACAAGTTGAAAAATCTAGATAAATCGTGTGTTAGTAATCATCATTGGAAACTTCCATTGCCATCTTAGTAACAACAACAACAAAATTCAAAATTATTTCTGCTTTTATTCCATTAATGCTAGCCTCTGACCCTGGAATGAAACCGCCTCTAAAACAGCCATTCTAGAATCAACAAATGCAAGGATGTTCTTCCTGGGGATTAATAATAGCTTGTATTTATATATTTCTTTAAGCCTGGCCAAGTGCTTTACTTACATTTTCTCATTTGGCCCTCATTACAATCTTGTTTGGTAGAAGCCATAATTATCCCCGTGTCACAGATAAGGAAAATGAGGCCAAGAAGTTAAATGACTTATGCAGGTCACACAACTTCTAAATGCCTGTTTGGAGGGGTCAAACCTGGGTCTTTGAGGCTCTGATCATAACACTCCATTCACTATGTATACTGCCTCTGATTCATCAATATCTTTCGAGTTAGAAGTCTCCCACTGTAGCAAGCTACCAACAAGGCTGCCAATGTTTTATTGCCTCAATACACAGAAAGCCAAAAATCTGAAAGAAAAAAAAAACAAACCACTATCGCCACCCAGGGACCTATGCTTAACGTTAGTGCTCTATTAAGAGCTGGTATCTACCAAATTTATTATGATGGTCAGAGTCTGGTTGGGACCTATTACCCTGCCTTCCTACCACAGAGGAAAGTTTGTGATATTCTATTGAAAACTGGGTCTATTTTGTTGCTTCTATTTCCATGGAAAATCAACAAAAGATTCTGTGTTGTTCTATTTCCCCAAGAGGAAAAGCGTTTTTATCAATTATTTGGGGTTTATTTTAACATGAACTTATAGTCTTGCTTCTTGTCTACAAGGTTATGATAAAGGAAACAAACAGAATGCAAACAAAAGAAAGGGAATAAGTAAATAGTCAGAAGGTATTATCCTTGGCAACTATGCATGAGATTACATGACATAAATTGGTGGTTTCAGAACCAGTTCCCAGGAAACATGACTTGTAGGAATGAGTACAAGTTGTTCAGCAGAGGCAAAAGACCTAAAATGGATCTGAAGTCTGCATTTCCAGTGCAGAGAACTGTTACAGGTCAGGAGGCTGGCGGCACTAGAGAAACAGTCTGTTCTGATAGCATGGTTGGGTAAGAGAAACAAGATTCAAAATGATTTGGTTAAATAGTATTTGTGGGCCAAAACCAACAAGATGAAATTTAACACAGAAGAAAAGTTCAGCATTTAGGTTTGAAATAGTGAATTATATAACATAGGATGAGAGAAACTGGGAGCCATTTATATGGGAAAAAAAATGGGAGAGAAGTTCAGTTAGTCACAAGCTCAATAAGCAATGAAGTATGAGACAGCTACAGGAAAAAAAATGAAATATAGTATACTATGTAATAATTCCATTGCATTCTGTTTTGGTCAAACCACAGTTGGAATACTGCATCTCATTCTGGCATCACATTTCAAGAAGTTTCCAAAGCAAGGAAAGCGAGATGTTGAGAAATCTTGCCATCCTGTCATTAACCAGTATGGTGCACTGGTAGGAGCTTGGGGGTGGGAGGGCGCAACAGACTTTGGTTCAAGTCTGGTTCCACAACTCATTTGGTCTTGGATGGCCCCCCTCATCCTCAAGTCCTATCATTCACATACCTTCTGCCATCATCTCCTCTTCCACTCCTGCCTCTGATGATGAAGTTCCTTACCAAGGACAACCCCACTACCTGCTCAAGTGATCCCATTCCATTCTCCAACAGACTGCCCCCTCTGTCATTCCCACTCTATCACTTATTTTCAATCTCTCCCTGACCATCAGGCTCATTTTCTGCCTACAAACATGCCCATGGCCCTCACTTGAGCCTTCTATCTCCACTGACTGTTGTCCTGTGTCTCTTCTGGCCATGTCTCAGTCCTCGTTCTCCTTGACCTCTCTGCAGCTGTGCCACTGTTGATCACTCTCTCCTCCTTGATCCTCTCCTCTCTAGGTTTTTGGCATAATACTCTCTCCCAGTCCTCCTCCAATCTCTCAAAACTGTTCCTTCTCAGTCTCCTTTGCTGGATCCTTAACCAGATTACACCTTCTATCTAGAGGTGTCCCACAGGGTTCTGTCCTGGGCTCTCTTATCTTTTCCTTCTACACTAACTTGTGAACTACTTCACTTGTGGAATACCTATCAACTCCTATGGACTTAATTACCATTTCTATGCTGGTGAATCTCAAATCTACCTTTCCTGCCCCAGCCTCTTTGCTGACTTCCAATATTGCATCTCCAACTGCTTTCAGACATCTCCAACCAGGTGTCAAGTAGACAGCTTAAAACCAAACATGTCTAAAACAGAACTCATTGTCTTTCTCCCTAAACCCTCCCTTCCTTCTATAGTCTCTTTTACTGTAGAAGGTGACATCATCCTCCCAGTCTCTCATCTCAGGCTCACAACCTAGGAGTCATCCTGTATTCCTGGCTATCTCTCATATCCCATATCCAATCTGTTTTTACCAAGACCCATTAATTTTACTTTTGTAGCATTTCTCAAATCCTCCCCTTTCTCTCCTATCTGCCTCAGTTACCTGAACTGTAAAATGGGGATAGTAATAGAATCTGCCTCCCGAGGTTGTTGTGAGGATCAAATGAGATAATATTTCTAAAAGCTAAGTATGGTGCCTGGCACATAGTAGGTGCTTAATAAATGCATTTCCTTCCTTCTGTATTTTAGAAGCAATTAAGTAGTACAGCGGATAGAGCACTGGGCCTGGAAGTGAAGAAGACCAGAGTTCAAATACAATCTTAGACACTTAGTAACTGTGTAACCTTGGGCAAGTCACTTAACCTCTGTTTGCCTTAGTTTCTTCAACTGTAAAATGAGGATAGTAATAGTACCTACCTCCTGTGAGGATCAAATAAGATATTAATTGTAAAGTGTAGTGCCTAGCACATATCAGGCATTATATAAATGCTAGCTGCTATTATGTATGTATGTAAATATGTATGTGTGCATATATGTATGTATGTATGAGCAATAAATAATGATTATGACAACAATGTTCTCAAGCTCTCAGTTCAGTTAAATATAGAGATCTGGTGTTGAATTTAAAATGAGTGCGAGAAGTTATATTGTAGGGGACAAATTCCTATCATTTTACCTTAAACTGTAGTTCCACAAAACACTTTTTTCCCAACTAAGTAGGCCTTCTTTCCACAAATCTGGCTTGCATAAAATCTGAGTATAGTCTATAACTGATATTATTTTTCAATATGTACCCATATATTTTTCCCTTTCAAAGAAATCCCATTTGGGGGATCAGCCTATATCAAGGGGCAGCCTTTGAAAGAAGGACTCAGCATGAATCCATCGAAACGTTAAACATGGCAACGGGCAGGAGCTTTGCTGGGCGAGAGGTAAGAGGAAGAACAACATACACTGGTGTTTTAATTCTTATTAAACTTACCAAGTAGGGCAGCCCAGTGAAGGGGTGTCCTAAATAAGTTATCATAAGACGTGATGTTACAGCTTTCATAGGAGGTCAAAACGTCAACCACCGTCACATTGCCGTCAGCAACTGCGAAGTGAAGAGGTGTCCGCCCTTCGTAATCCTGCCAGTTCAGCAAAGATTCAGTGGGAGCAGCATCCTGTGTTTAAACAAACAGAAACTTGAGGCACACATGGAATACTGACTAAATCTTCTGAGTAGGCACTATCTTTTTTGCCTTTCTTTGTATTCCTAGTGCTTATCACAGTGCCTGGCACATAGTAGGCACTTAATGAATGTTTGTTGACTGACTATTGACTGACACATATAACTACAAATGCTTTATTGTTTGCCGCTAAAGAGCCTTCTATTATCCTTTCTTTAGTATTAGCATTAAATAATAATGATAACAGCCAACAATAACAATAACAACTAGTATTGATACAGTGTTTTAATGTTTGCAAAGCACTTTATATATGTTATCTCATTTGACTCTCACAACTCCTTGAGGTATGTGTTATTATTGCTCCCATTATGCACAGATGAGGAAACTGAGACTGGGAGAAGTTGAGGGACTTGAGTGAGTGTTAAATGGCTAGTAAGTTTCTGAGGCAGGATCTTCCTGATTCCAAGTCCCAAACTGTAGTCACTGTGCCACTCAGTTGCTTTTAAGTCTGAAGAACAGAGCTTAAGAACATACTCTCACCTCTAAAACTACTTTATCTTTTCAAAATGTAGACCTGGACCTCTGCTGCTGATGGAGTGTGTGTGCCCAGGGTGGAGCACACCCCATCTGAAGTGGCATGACTGAGGCCATCCCTTGGCAGAACTTACAAGGGGATGATTCTTATAATTAAGACGTTAGCAAAGAATAGCTGAAAGATATAACCCTTTTCTAGAAATGTCTGTCTTTTAAAAATAAAGTTTTCCTGAAGGCTTAAAAACAACGGAATTAATTCAATTCGACAAACATTTATTAATCCCTCACAAATGATATAATGTATGTAAAGTGTTTTACAAGCCTTGAAGCACCAAAAGAAAATGAAATTTGATTTAACAACAACAACAAAAAAAGAGTTAAGCTACTGTTGTGGAGATTGCAGGAGTGTAAGTATTAGATGAAATCCCTGAAAAGCAGATTTTTTAATTCAACCAACATTCATTAAGTACTTACTGGGTAGAGCACTGTGGTAAGCATTGGAGAGATATTAGACTTTTAAGTGAGGAATAGACTTTTGCATCCCCAGCTTTTGTATCTCCAACATGCACATATTGTTGCTTAATTGGTTTAGTTCCGTTCCGTTCTTCATGACCCCATTTGGGGTTTTCTTGCCAATGATACTGGAGCGGTTTGCCATTTCCTTCTCTAGCTCCTTTTACAGATGAGGAAGCTGAGGCAAACAGGGTTAAGTGACTTGCCCAGGGTCACACACCTAGGAAGTATCTGAGGCCAGATTTGAACTCAGGAAGATGAGTTTTCCTGACTTAGCCCCAGCTCTCTATCCACTGTGCCACTAGCTGTCCATCATATAGGTGCTCAATAAATGTTTATTTGTTGATTAATCCCTGCCATAATGGAATATACAATCTAGAGTCAAGTAAAGAAGCATTTATTAAGTACCTACTATGTACACATGGTAGATGGTTAATGTTGATTGATTGATTGACAGGCACTGGGCAAAGCATTGGGGATACAAAGAAAGGCCACCCCATCACTCCAAATGGTCCCTGCTATCGAGGAATTTACAGACTAATGAGGCAGACAACATGAAAATAACTGTATACAAACAAGATATAGGCAGGATAAACTGGAGGTGAACAGAAGAAGAAAGTACTAACATTAAAGAAGTATTAGGAAAGACTTCTTGCGGAAGGTAGGATTTTGGATGAGATTTATAAGAAGTCAGAGAAATTAGCAGGTGGAGAAAAAGAGGGAGAGAATTCCCAACATGGGGGACAGCCAGCCAGTCAGTGAAAATGCCTGGAGTCTGAAGACGGTGTCTTCTGTGTGAGGAACAGCAAGGAAGCCAGCATCACTGGAAGGCAGAGTCTGCACAGGGAAGGAAGATAGAAAAAAGCTGGAAAGGGAGGAAGGGGCCGGGTTAGGACACATGCACAGATAGTTATGATACAAAGTAATATAGGATCAGTATATATTGCAGCAGGAGAGGCAGTGTGGACTAGTGGATAGACAGAAAGCTGACTTTGGAATCAGGAAGCCCTGAGTTCAAGTCTCACTTCTGACACATCCTGGGGAAATCATGTTACTTCTTTCAACCTCTAGCTTGAAAGACTAAGTCACTGATCTGCACTGGGAGTGAGGAGTTTCCTCACTGACCACTCCCAGACAATGATGAAATCACAGCTCAGCTGGAGAGAAAATGAAGTGGATAAGAGAGATACAAAGAAAGTGGGTGGGAAGCATGAGCCAAGAAGGGCAAAGAGGCAGAACACTGTGCATTGGGAACATCAAACAGTTATAGATACAAAATCTCAGGCTTCCAAGGCACGACACCTTTCCAGGGGTTTCAAATAAACTACTCTAAGGAGCTGACATTTTAAAGTTTTCAAATTTTATATATATACACACACATACGTATATGTGTGTGTATGTATGCATATGTATATATCTACATACATATGTATCTATATATATGTATATGTATATCTGCACATGTGTCTTTTTCTTCTCCTGCTATTTTACCTCCCTGGAAATCCCCCTTCCTCCTGTCCTGATTGGTGGCTCTCTCCCAACCATTTTAGGAAGGACCCCAGTCTTCTTTAGGAAGGTCCTCTCCCTCTCCCTCTCTGCTCAGTATTAAAATGGGAGTATACCCCACTGAATAACTACCCACTGTACTGTATACTGTGTGAATCTCGGCTGAAGATTCCTGAATGGGGATGTGACCACATGAATAGGCCGCTTGTCATCTGGCCATGATGATTCTAGAATTTGGTATCAGATCAACTCGAGGACTAGCCATGATTCCAGAGGACTGATGACGAAGCATGTTACCCACCTCCTGACAGGGGTGATGGACTAAATATACAGAATGAGACACACTTTTTTTTGAATATGGCCAAATTTATTTGACTATACATATTTGTTATAAGAGTTTCACTTCTCTTTTTTTTTTCTTTTTTTCCCCAATGGAGGGATGATGGGGGGGGAGAAAATAGAATTTTGTTCATTAAAAGTACATTAAAAAATTTGGAACCAAATATTTCCTCCTAATAAAAAATCACCACAGTCTTCTTTATACAATAGTTCAATGCTGACCCCCATGTGCTCCTAGAGAAGCAAAGGAAAAATCTTTTTTTTCTCCACACCTAGGCTATCAAGCATCATCCCAAGAATAAAAAGGAAAATAGAGTTCAATGTCATTAACTGTGCTCTAATATCAAAAGAGAGATTTTAATAGAAAAATATATACTCACCAGGATACATCTGACAGTATGGACAGCACTAGGATCTTTGTGGTTAGCTGCCCAATGAAGTGGGATCTTTCCTTCAATATCAGGGATTCCAATATTGGAATCATGTTTTATTAGAAGCTTCACATGCTCTGGGTTATTGTAATAGGCACTCCAATGCAGAGCAGTTTGCTAGAGATGTAAAAAAAGGTATGTATAGGTATAAAGCTTATATCCATTTGTTTTTAAATGGAAAGGGCATTGGACCTTATTTCTGAATAATTACTTTAAAAGAAACAAGCAACTTGCCAACAAATTTAATACATGGTTTATGACGTTTATGAGTTATTACATAAGATCATAGATTTAGCACTAGAAGGGGCCACGCAATGGTCATACAATTCAACCCTCTCATTTGACTAGTGAGGAAACTATTTGTTCAAGACCTTAGTGGGTTACAGAAAACCCTTCTTAATAAGACTAAGCCCCCTGTTTGTGCCTTTGATCTCATCCCTTCTCCTATCCTCCCTTTCCCCCATTAAAATTTCAGTTCTCCCATTCTACTGGCTCTTTCCATTTTGCTTATAAACATGTTCAGGTCTCCACCATTAGAAAGCCTCCACTTGATCTTGCCATCCTCTGAAGCTAATGCCCTCTCTTTCCAGCCCTTGCAAAACTCCTGGAGTCATCTACATGCAATGCTTCCATTTCATTATATCCCACTCAATACTGAAATCCCTACAATCTGGCTTCTGAGTCCTCTCTGCTGAAACTGCTCTATTGAAAGGTCCCAGTGACTTTGCAGTTTCAAAAGCCAGTGGACTTTTCTCAGCTAGTGATCTGCTGGCCATTCTGAGTATCCTGTGAGCATGTGAAACTCATGTTGTCCAAACAGACCTCATCATCTTCCCCCACTTCCAAACCTCATGATTGTTGTTATGGGAACCACAGTCCTCCAGGATAGTGACCAAAGTGTCACTCTTGGCTGTCTCCTCTCCTTTATTGCCAATTCTCCTACCTAGTCTTTATCACCGAATGGGTGTTGCCACAGACAAACTGAGAAATGGGAAAGACCTTAGCTTAAAGAGGCCAAGGTCTCTTACTGCATCTGGGGCCATCTCCAATCATCCTGATCTATATTGTGCCACTGGACCCAGACGGCTCCAGAGGAGAAAGTGAGGCTGGTGACGTTGCACAGCCCTGCTTCACTTAAATCCAATTCACTTTCAAGTCATGACATCACCTTCCTGATGTCTCGGTACTGCTTGAGAACAAAGGACAAAGAACAACAACAATCTCCAATCAATTGCCAAGTTCTGTTGATTTTATCTGCATAGGATTGCTTAATTCTGTCTCCCCTCTACCCACACACAGGTCCTCACCTCCTCTCACCTGGAATATTGTAATAGTTTATCAATTTGTCTACTTGCGTGTAGTCTGTCTGTACTCTAACCCATCCTCTACACAACTGTTCAAATAATCTTCCCAAGGTATAGGTCTCACTATCCCACTCACATGCTTTAAAAAAAAAAAAAACCAAACCTTTAGTGGCTTCCTTTTCCTCTAGGACACAATGCAAAATTTTCAGTTTGGATGTTAAGGCCTGGCACAGTGCAGTTCCAATCTATCTTTCCAGCTTTGTTTTAAATTATCCCATTTCACAATTATGTTTCAGCCAAACTGGACTACTAGCTGCGCTTCATAAATGACAGACATTATTACGTCTATCACTTCTATGTATTTGCATAAAGTGAACTAGAAGACACTCCCTCCTCTTCCAAGGCTCAGCTTTGTCAGAGGTAAGATATATGTTCCAGGTATGGCTTGATTTCAAAGCTAAGCATCTATCTTTCATGACACACTGCTTCCCTTTAAGAATATTACATATGTGTATATATATATATATATATATACATGTTTATTTTGGGGGGGCTGGCAATGGGGTTAAGTGACTTGCCCAGGGTCACACAGCTAGTTAAGTGTCAAGTGTCTGAGGCCGGATTTGAACTCAGGTCTTCCTGACTCCAGGGCTGGTGCTCTATCCACTGAGCCACCTAGCTGCCCCAAGAATATTATATTTCAATCTTCTAGTAAAAATCACCCTGAATAACGTGGTATAGCATATAGAGTACTGAACTTTGAGTCAGAGAGTTCTGGGTTCAAATTCCACCTTAGACACATACGACCCTAGACAAGTCACTGAGTTTTCTTAATCTATAAAATGAGGATAACAATAGCACAGAATTGTGAGAATCAAATGAGATATTTACAAAGTTATTTGCAAACCTTAACGTGCTATATCAATATGAACTATTACTACCTTAGTAGTAGTTTTTATTTATAAGGTAAATATATATTTATAAAGTAATTATTATTACCTTATTTTTGTCCTGTGTATCCACTTCTCCTGGTGCCATAAACTTTAACAGAAGGGCCAAACATTTAGGACTTTTATGTCGGGTTGTTAAATGCAGTGGAGTCATTTCTTCTAAGTCCTTTTGCATCCAGTTTGCTCTACGAGTGAGTAAGAGTTTCATGAAACGATAATTTCCCTAGGAGAAAAAAATTGACGAGAGTCACATTTGTAGATATACATTTGTAGACACAGCTACTACATAATACAATCCTATAGATTTTAGGGACACAGGGACGAAAGAGGGCCTCCCTAAATAACTCCAGAACCATGGCAAAGTACCATTTGGAATGGTACCCACTTACAGGCCGGCTAATATAATGTACTTCAGCTAAACTTTCGGGACATATTTGTTAACTGATGATCACTTCCTAAGTGTAGTTAGTTTTGTTTTATATAGGGAAATCAAAATCTCAGTGGCGAGAGAACTAGAATAGGAATAAGGAAAAAGTCTTGTATTTTTTATCTCTTATTCCAGGGGGACCTTATCAGTAAGGGATGCGTAGGCACAATTCAAACAATCTCTGCCCTGTCAAAGGACAAAAGAAGGGAGTCTTCTATTGGATGCATCCTTATTCTTCCATAAACACAGGGTAAGAAGAAAGAAATGTTTGCTTGAGGGCCCAAGATTTAAGCTTAATGGTACTGGATCCAGTTGCTTGGTTTGCTAAAAACAAACAAAACAAAACTTTCACAATCTTATTATAGTGACTTCTGAATTTGGATATCACTGGATAAAAAAAAATTCTAAGATATTCTCTATAAAAGCAAATGTTCACTAATTGATTCGCTCTGCTGGGAACAGGGGATAAAAAGACATAGACCATGCCGTCCAAGAACACACAACCTACTGGGTGAGACAAGGCATGAGTACAAATCTGGGGAAATTTCTGGGAGAAATTCAAGGAAGGAGAGAGTTCTCTTAGCATGAGAGAGAGGGACAAAGTAAAGAAGGCTTCATGAAGGAAGTACCAGCTAAGTTGGGTCTAGAAGGAAGAGAGAGACTTTAGTAGACAGAGATGAGCATGAGGGAGTCTACTACAGGTAATGGAGAGAGAATGAAGAAAAACATGGTGATGGAAAAGGGCAGGCTGAAAAGAGCAATAGAGGGCTGGAATGTAGTAGTAGTAATAATAATAATTATAATATATATACACACATATACATAGTGCTTTAAAGGTTTACCAAATACTTTATTCACAATAATTTACAACAATTGTAAAGCACAGATGGGAAAGTATCATCATCACCATTTTAAAATTAGCAAACAATAGACCTAGAGACATTAAATGACTTGCTCTGGTCACAAACCAGTAAGTACCAGAAATGGGATTTAAGCCAATGTCTTTGAACTCCAAGTTTCACATTCTTTCTACTACATCATATGGCCTTTAATGTAGAGTAAATGAAGACAAATGAGAAGGCTAGAAAGGCAGGTTCAATTCAAGCTGTGGAGAGCCTTGAGTACCAGGAGGAGTATATATTTTATTTAGGAGCCCATGAAGATTTTTGAGAAGGATGACATGATCCCTGAGATGCATTAGGAAAGTTATGTGGGCAAGGCAACAAGGAAAGACCAGAAAAGGGGCTTGGCTGGAGTCTATTACAGGGGGTAGATCAGTTAAGAAGAGGTATTACATTAAAACTGAATCAGATGCTTTTTTTGAAATAAAAAAAAAAATAAAACCCACTGGGACCCATCTAACTTTCCAATGATCCAGCCCATATCTCCCCATTTGGGCCATAAACATACTCAAAGATAATTGAGAAATTTAGATCTGGGAGGCCATCTAGTCCAATGCCTTCATCTGTAAGATGAGGAAATGAAAACCTTAGCACACGTAGTATGTGATAGAGGCGGGATTTGAATCACACTCTTCTGATGTCAAATCCAATGCTCTCTCTGCTATATCACACCATCAAAAGAGACTTTATCAAATACCTTCCTTATATTTAGGTGTATTATGTCTAAACAACATGGTAGAGTACATAGAGAGCTGACCCTAGAGTCAGGAACACCTGTGTTCAGTTTCTGTCTCTGACACATACTTCCTGTGTGATCCTGGACAATTCACTTGAACTCTCAGTATCCCAGGCTGAGATTGTAAATTGCAGAACAGTTAATGACCTGCATTGATAAAGTTTCTTCATTGGCAACTCTCCATACCAATGAAAATACAGGTCCAGACCCCTCCCATCTCCAAAATACTCAACTCTGTAAGCATATGGTATTTTTGTTCCTTTAGTCTATTTGCTCTGTTGAAAAAGAAAATCAGATTAATTTTGCTTGTATTGTTCTTACTAAACCAGTGAGAGCTAGGACAGTAGTGCAGGACAGTGAATGCTAAACCTCGAATACGTAAGACTTGTAATCAAATCTAGCCTCAGATACTTAATAGCTATGTGACCCTGGGCAAGTCACTGAACCTCTATTTGTCTTAGTTTCCTCAGTCATAAAATAGGGAAAATAACGGCACCTATGTTGCAGGGTTGTTAGAGGATCAAATGAAATAATATTTGTAAAAAAAAGAAAAAAAATCCTTAGCACAGTGATGGGGCAATATAAATGCTTATTTGTTATTGTTGTTCAGTCGTTTCAGATATGTCTGACTCTTCGGTGCCCCATTTTTGGGGGGTTTCTGGACAAAGATACTGGAGTGGCTTGCCATTTCCTTCTCCAGCTCATTTTAAAGATGAGGAAACTGAGGCAAACAGGATTAAGTGACTTGCCAAAGGCACACAGCTAGTAAGTGTCTGAGACAGGATTTGAATTCACAAAGATGAGTTTCCCTGAGTCTAAACCCATCACTGCACCACCTTGCTGCCCTTAAAAGTTTATTTCCTTCCCCTAAACCCATGCTAGATCCTGGTGATCACTAAGTACTCACAAATCAACCATTTAATAATATGTCCTAAAATCTTGACAAATGGTAAAATGGTCTGTAGTTTGTACATTATTCCCTTTTCTGAAAATCAGAATATTTTCCTATTTCTGTAGCACCTCTCTCATATTCCTGAAATATCATTAACAGTTCAGTATATGTATCTATGACTTTTTAATATTTTGCCATATAAGCTGAATGCTTATTTAGAACAGCAGGGTACCAATATTTATCTTGAATTTTAATCATATATTAATTATTTTTGGTTTATTCTTCCAGTCTGAAGATCATTCTTTTTGGAAAAAAAAAGACAGAAGAAAAATAAAGAGGTGAGCGATGCTGCTCGATTTCATTCAGTTAAAAATGTTCCATTTAGCCTAGATAGCAGGCTCATCATCCTTATTCTGCTTTTCTTTTTGCTTCAAACATAGCTAAAACAATCTTTTTTTGTTCTCTGTAGCATTTTTTTTACAAGCCCAGCTCATTAAGAATTCCAGCATTAAAAGTGCTGTTTTTACAGGTACAAATGACTATTTTGTATTCATCCATTATATGATCTTTCATCTTTTGAACCTGTCTTTTGAAAGTCTGAGCTCCCTATGTTACTACTTCAGTCTCTTATCAGACTTTCATAACTCATACCTTCTAATAATTACCGCAAAAACTATTTCATACCCTCTGATTTTATTTTTATTTTTAAAATAAATTCTATTGATATATTTTGTCATTTATTGCACAGATTTTTCCCTGTATCCTTTCATATCCCCCATTCCTAAGAGCCATCCTTTACAACAAAGAATTTCTTTTTTTTACCAAAAAGAAAATGAGGAAGACAAAAAAAAATTCAACAAAACTAATCAACAAATTGAAAAAAAAATTTACATGGTATGCAATGTTCCACACCTGTAAAAAGGAGTGTATTGGGGAGGGGAGGTGTATGTCTTCTCACATCTCTTCTTTGAGGCCAAGCTTGTGTTTTGTAATTTTATAATATAATTTTAAATTGTTTTGTGTTTGTTGTTCTTTTGACTTATGTCATTGTACGTTAGTGTTTTGTTTCCTGGCTCTGCTTACTTCACTTTGCTTCCATTCACGTAAGTCTTCCCATGATTCTCTGCAGTCACTATATACGTCATTTCTTAAAACACATGCATTCATGAACCACAATTTGTTTAGCCTGACTTCCCGCCACTCCTCTGATGTTGACTATTCCCATCTTTCATCTTTGCCAATTAGTTAGATGTGAGGAGAAGCCTCAGGTTTGTTTTTATTTCCATTTATCTTCTTATTAGTTACTTGGAGCATTCTTTCATATGATTTTTTTAAAATAGTTTGCATTTTTCAAGAACTATTTGTTCAACTCCTTTAACTGCTTACCTATTGGAGAATGGCTTTTGGTCTTATATATTTTTGTTAGTTTTCTATTTATCTTGGATACTAAATCCTTATCTGAGAAATTTGTTACAAAGATTTTTTTTTCCCAGTCAACCATTTCCCTTTCTTATCCCAGATGCATTTTAATTTTGTTTGTGCAAAAGCTTTTCAATTTCATGTAATCAAAATTATCTATTTTATCTTTTGTAATTGCTGCTATCCCTTGTTTGCTTAAGAATTCATTTCCTACCCATAGCTGTGAAAGGCATACATAATCTGTTTTTCTTCTAACTTTTTGTGGTATGATCTTTTATATTCAGGTCACATATTCATTTTGAATTTACTGTAGATTATGATATAAGCCTAATTTTTGCCAGACTGCTTTGTAGTTTTCTCAGCAGTTCTTATCACATAGAGAGTTATTTCCTAAGCAATTTATGTTTCAGATTTATTCAACACTTGAGTATTGAGTTCCATTATTTCCGATTTTTCCTTGTTTAGTCTGTTGCACTGACCTACTTTTTTTTTTTTTTTAACCAATACCAAATGGTTTTGATGGTTGCTAATTTGAAATATATTTTGAGGTCTGGAAGGGCTAGTCCCCCATCATTCCTATCTTTTTTCAATTTTCCGTTGGCATTCTACCTCTTTTGTTCTTCCAAATGAATGTTGTTGTTAGTTTATTGAATTCTATAAAGTGTCCCTTTTGTAGTTTGTTTGGTATAACATCAAACATGTAAATTAATTTTGTCAGTATTGTAATTTTTATTATATTGACATGGTCCAGCCATGAGCAGTGAATATTCTTCCAGTTATTTAGGTTTTCTTCAAGTAGCATTTTGTAACTGAATCCATAAATTCACATTTTTAAAAAGAGATTTTG